ACTGGGTGTTCCCACAACTAGCACAGCCTCCATTTTCTCCTTTGCTCCTATGTCTCCTTTGCTCCAAGTGGGTAGTACCTTGCGGAGTGGGCAGTGGGTGGCAGTAGTGGTTTGCAAGATCAACGCAATCCAATTCTACCCATATCCTTATAACTGAGGGCAAACCATAGAATATGCCCCAGAATGCTCTGCAACACAGAAGTATTTTCTTTGATGTGATGTGCCATTGCATATCAGCTATTAAGACAGTCGTATCTAAACAACACTGCATGTCAACTACTGGGAAGTGCCAACACTCAGCTAACAAATAATGAAATTGAGTATCATTGGGTGTCAAAGGTATATGAGATATTCAAACAGGTTCAAAGTACCAGAGAATATTAAAGATGAAAACCCATACAGCAGAATTTTTTTTAGAACAAATTTATTTCAGCTCTTGCTATAACGAAATAAAACTGTACAGCTTCTCTCCCCCCCCCTCCATATATATAATTTCTTTGGGAACGAGTTTCTCAAAACTTTGACTGCAGTACATGTTTCAGTAACAGATTATACTGTCCAACTAATAAATAGTGTTCACAAATGGAAGTACAGTGATCATTCCCACTTCAAAAGCTCATTCAAAGCAAGGAATCTGGCTATCATTGTGGACAGCTCAATGGCTGAAGTGGGAAGAAGCAGATTGGATGGATATACAACAGAAAGTATGGGATGTAATAAAGAAAATACTTTTTAATGTACAGTATGTATGATAGCTTCTTCAGTATTAGGAGTGCAATGTGCAGAACTGTTTCTAAATAGTTACAGATTTGTGACCTATGACTAAGAAACTGAATTTTATTTATGGCATTTTAGCCATAATCCAGTGCACCAAAACCTATATGAAATCTATTGGGCTTAATTTCTCCCTCCCTTTTGCCATTCATCTCACTACATTAGCTTCCTTGAGTCATTATTAATAATCCATACAACTGGACACATTATTTTACATTATACTCCGCATCGTGTTGCTACTGTTCTGGCGTGAACTGACAGCTGCCTATTAAAATATTAAATGTGGTTAAGTGCATTAGGGTTTGTAAATGTCACTGAGTTGATATTTAATGTCTGAATGCCAGAGCACTTACTTGGATGCCCATTGTGCTGTTTTGCTGGCTTAACCTTTAGCACATAACCCATAAATTACTCCGGTATAACTTCATTGTTGACTAGCCCACTTAGGTTATATATATCTGAGAAATTGAGGGAGTATTTGTGGGATGTCAGAATTGACTAATAGTCCTCAGTCTCTGGCTAGTTCAATTTTATTAAAATTGTATTTCACATGAAGAAAAAGCTTAAACATTTAAACATGCAACTTGCTTTCAGTACTAACCTATGCAATACCTAACCTAACCCTAAAAGGCCAGTTCACACAATACATTCTTCATCCACACAAGCAGTCCTGTCATTTCCAGACTATGTATCTGGAGTAGGGAAACAAGAGTTTTGGGTAGTGGGCTGGACTACATTATTTAGAGAGTAGATTTCAGCAAAACTAGCTTTTCTTATCTCTATGTGCACATGAAAATTCTTGGAATTTGTGTATTTAAAGAAACAAGAAGAAAAATATGCTGACCTCCTTTAGCCAAAGGAGCCACAGAAGCCAGTACAAACATTCACAACTTCTAACAGGAAAGAAAGGAATTAAACTGCTTTAAGCTGAGATTCCTGCATTGCAGGGGTTGGACTAGATGACCGTACGGATCCCTTCCAACTCTACAATTCTATGAATCTATGATTCTGAAATATGAAGCAACATTGCAGTGGCTTCTATATATAACTGGCTAGCCCATGACAACATGTGCACCATTTTTCACTATCTCTACCCACCACGCTGTGGAGGAACAAATAACTTGAAGGGAATACATTTTAAGGCAGAACCAGGACTCTGACTTTTGCTAACCTTGTAAGAACTGTCAGAATTGTACATCAAACATGTTTCTCCACTGAACACTGGAGAACATCGCTGTGGGATCATTCAGTCTAGCTACCCTTTTTTATGGGACCCAATGTTAACCAGATCAACTGTAACTTTGCATCATTTTATACTAAAAATGATAATCAAAAGCTCACCTTAAACATGGAATCCATGTTATTCAATAACTGCATAAAAGGAATTTTTCAGTAAAGAGGGGTTTGAGTTACATGGGATTATGCTGACATTGGCTTATTTTGGAAAGACCCAGTAAAAAGTTCTACAACTGGAGTCCAGATAATAGTGGATTCATTCAACTCAGCTTCCAAATCACTTTGACGTCATTAGCCCTCACATTTCTAGAATCTAGAGTGACAAGTGTCAAATACTGTCATATGTTAAATATCAGAAGTCAAACATCAAATGGCATCAGCTGTCAAATGCCTGATGTGAAACAACAGGTGTCAGGAATTAAATACCTCAGTCGGTTAACTGTCAAGTTTCATCAAAACATCAGATACCATCAGATACCAGGTGTCAAATATGAATATCAGATACTGAATATCCAATGGACATTTGACATCAGACTTTGCAGAAAAAGTCTCAGAAAGACTTAGGAAGCTGGTTTGTTTTTGCTCAAATAAGTGATAGCTTGGGGCAGATGAAATGGAAGCCCCTTGAGGGTAAATTATTCAAAGCAGCTATTCATTCAGATGAGGATGTCTCTGTGTTTCTCCATCAAAGACCAGAATGAACTACTGGAAACACATTTCAAAACCAAAAGGGTTCAGTTTTCCTGGACACATTTAATCTTGCTTCTGATTTCAGTGTGTTTTAAAACAGGGCATTGTTTGAAATGATTTTTTTCCCCAGGGGGGTGTAGACTCAGGAAGTAATCCTGAACAAGGAAGGTAAGTTCTATCAAACTCAGCAGGACCTACTTCAGAGTAAACATGTTGGGATCGGGCTGTCAGCCTTCAAAGGATGGATGGACTTGTGTAGGACATTTACCCAGGAACGATGTTAACAGAATGAATAGCAGCAGGCTATAATGGCCGCGTGCATTGCATCCCCTGCTACGTTGATGGTTGTCTGGCAATGAATGAGTGATATGGACACAAGCTGTCAAATGGGGTGCAACTAGAGAAAGCCCTCATTAAATAAAGTAATGGCAATACTGATAGCTCCCTGCAGTGACTCATCATACAGATAAATGGCCAGATATGGAGGCTGACAGATGGTGAATGACACTTATATAATTGGAAAGTAAGTTTGAAACTTCCTAGGAGTGCTGTTGCAGTGTTTCTTTTCTTTCTTTCTTTTAAAAAAACATTTTATCCAGCATTGGCAAACCTTTCTGCTTGTTTTCTTAAAAAAAACAAAAAAACAACCCTCCTATTTGTGATTTCCACTCCTGTTTATGATTTCCACCTAGACACTATTTTGCTACATTTACTGCAGATATTTTAAAATAAATAATTTCACAGGTGAGATTTTTTTTATCCTGCACTTTTAGAATGCATTCGAAGCACATTCGTTGTGAGGAGCATAAGTACCAGGCTATGGTTTGCTCAGCTTGCAGTTCCAACCATTTCAAATTAACATTCCATTTCCTCTTAAGGTTTTCCATTGTCTCGTCCCATAAACATTTTGTCAGGCATTTACACCTGCTTGATCCCTTGCATTTTCTAATGAACAGCATGAGGAAATGAGTGCTATCCATTCAGCTTAGAGCAACTGAACAAATCAATATCACTCTATAGTAGATGTTAGCAAATATTCTGAGTTTTAATTGCCTTACAGCCAAAATGTATTGCACATATTAAAATCGTTGCTTACTGAACCATGCTTAAAAATTTATAATTCAGCTTTATTCCCAGAGAAAAATATTTATGCAATTATGTTTTGCAAGGGAAAATGATGATTATTATACATACTGGAGGCGGCCTGTACCAAGAAAGGATGAGGTGTAAATACATCAGGATGTTTGCCAGCCAGGATGAGATTTTAAATGATGCTGTAGACATTGCTAAATGAGTCATAAACCGACAAATGTCAAAATTGGAGCTGAATGATGGAAGGATTACAGCAGCAGATGATATTTAGTAGATATTGTATGACTAGCTTATGAAAGCCACTTGCCTCCTTGTAAAGGCTACTTGTCTGCACACCAAGAAAGAAGACTTGAAATACATAGTATTTAGTAGAAAGGTCATCTTTATTGCACAGCATTAAGATCTGCAGACAGTTAACTAAATTATTAAGGTACAGTGGTACCTCTGGTTATGAACTTAATTCATTCCGGAGGTCCGTTCTTAACCTGAAACCGTTCTTAACCTGAACTAATGTGGCCTCCCGCTGCTGCTGCCGTGCCGCTGGCGCGCGATTTCTGTTCTCATCCTGGGGCAAAGTTCTTAACCCGAGATAGTACTTCTGGGTTAGCGGAGTCTGTAACCCGAAGTGTTTGTAACCCGAGGTGTTTGTAACCAGAGGTACCACTGTATGAGTAGGTGTGTTGTAAGAAGGCAGCAATTTTCATTCCAACCTACATTTGTCACAATCATTGCTGTTTCTATTCCACTACATTTTGGTTTCTGCAAAACACTACACTATTCAACTCACTGTCCACTATTTTACAAAACTTTATGTAACATACATTCATTTCAATGTAAAGAAATGTCAAAACATAATTTTAAAAGGCATTGATTTATGTATTATTTGCAAGTGCATACAATACAAAGTTATTGGTGATTTGTTCAGGGGAAACTGTATGTTGCAGGGAGGGAGTCTGCAATTTATGTGCATTTAACTTGTGCATTAAAAAGGGGTCAGAAAGGGGGCAGGGTTCCAGGAATAATGACTTTGGCAATCCCACTCACCACTGAACCCAATGTGTTTTGGCTATACACGGTTTTGGCTTTAGGTGCGACTCCCAGAACATAACTCCCACATAAGTTGCGGGCTTACTGCACAATATTTTGTACATATTCTTCCCCATAACAGGATGGTGATGGCATGACATCAAGACCTTTCAACCTGATTTGTTTTCAACAAGGCAGCAGAAGCCCCATGCACTACTGAGCCACTTTTTAAAGCTTAAAAAATAATAATTCAATTTAAGACATACTTTTAAAAGATAGCAAAGAGTAGATAGAGAGGCAGCCCTTAGATTACTTTTTATTTTATTTTTTAAAGTGTGTATATGAATGGAAGTTGTTTTGTACGAATTTGTTAATGGTCTAATGTTTGTGTTTAAATGTGTTGTAAACCATTTGGAGACATTTGGCTAACAAACAACTAGCAAATCTAATAAATGATCCTAATAATAGTATGAATAGTCCGTGTGGGTTTTTTATGGATTTGTGGGGATTTTTCCTCTCACAAAAAGTGAGAGAAATGCTCCAGGGCGAGCTCTAGTCTAATCCCAATCAATTCCAAGTCAGCCAGAATTGGTCGTGGGCCCATGCCTACACTTGGATCAATCAGGAGGATGCAGAGCCAATTTGGCATTTGGATCATATGATCTTTGTTTAGCTGCAGCAGTGCACATGGAAGTTTTATCTGGCCACATCAGGATCAGAATATGAAATTGGGTATTCCTGACCTAGCAGTAAGTTTCTTGAGAAACTTTTAGCCTCCATGACAAATTTTGGAAGAAGCCATTGATAGTCTGGTGACAAATCTGATAATGTCTTATTCTGATTGCAGAACTACCATTTTTATTTGCTAAAATATTCATAAATCAGGGGAATTTTGTTTTGGAGGGGTTTTTTTTTGCAACATGAATAGTGGGTAATGGTGTAATACTTAATGAGCAGAGTAATTAATGCACCTGGCTGGTGGATGACAAATGCAGATAAATGTGGACTAATGAGTTTTGGAACAAAAAATAAAGAGACAGTTCTACAGTTAAATGGAAAATGAACAGCGATGTATTGACCTAAAAAGAGATCAGGGAGCAATTATAGACAAATCCTTAAATCCTCTAGCCCATTAGGTGGCTAAACTGGAAAAAAATAATAATAAATGAGAGACTGCAGTGAATACTAAAGACATCCAGTATAACTCAAGGGAGATGGTATTATATATTTTGCTTAATGAGACCTTATCCACATTGCTGGATACAGCACTGGCAATAAATAGAGATAAGCCCCAACCAACTGCAGTGACTCATTTAAGACAAAAAAAAATGTACAGCTTAAGCACCATTGGGGGGATTTAAACAAGTGGCTTGACTTTCAGAAATTGTTACTATCTCTCATTGAACCAATTGAATGAACTTTCAAGTAACTGATCTCATAAGAACATCAGGAGAACCCTGCCACATCCAACAGCAGCCACCCAGAACCACAGATTCATCATGTACTAAACCACAGCTTTCCTTAAGTCTTCCATGAAGGAAGCTGTTGTAGGCAGTAAGCCTCTAAATATCAGTTGCTGGGGAGGAGCCCTGTTGCTTGAGGGCTTCCCATAGGCATCTGGTTGGCCACTGTGAGAACAGAACACCAGACTAATGACCCTTTAATCTGATCCAACAGGGCTCTTCTTGTGTTCTTAAGACGCCCATGCCAAAACCATTTGAATCATCCTTCTGTCTCTCCTTATCATTTAGGTTTGCAGAATTCAAGTGGATTTAAGCCCTCTGTCTTTTTTTTTTAAAAAAAGGGGGGTTGCAGTTAGTAAAGTGATGGGGAATTGTGAATTGGCAAGGCAGCATATTGGCAATGACTCAGCTTTCCAAAAGGGTATGGAAGAATATGATGCTAATGACCAATACCTAGATGAAGGTCTACCAGGATAAGCATGCTGTTTTTGTCGGGAGTTCAGCTTACACTTGAGTAGGACTCTGGCAGAGACACATGCCCGACTGGCATGTTTGCTCCCTCCTGGTCAATCATTCAGGAGCTTCATAAGCTTTCTTCTGCCTGAACATCACAGTGACCGATGCCAACCGACACCGGCACACTTAGGAATCCGCAGAGTTTGTGCCACATACGCATGACAGACCTCAGCAATTCAGCATGTTGGCTAATCTACTAAACACACACGGAGCACTGCAACATGGCTCCCTCTCTCTCTAGCATCAGACAGCAAAGAGAAAAAGAACAAAGGACAATTGTCCCACTTCACGGAACACAGTAACACAAACATCCTGTCTCTGTTACTTCCCACTCTGTGGAGTCAAAACATATACCGTCATGTGAAAGACAACAATCCTATGACTGCAATCACAGATCAGGAATTCTAACAGTTTTATGGAAGTGAGTCATGGGCAACTTAAACCCACCAGGAGCAATGCCTGAGTGCCTTTTATATGGGCTGTGTCAGGAAGATTTTGGGCATCACATGGCAGGACAAAGTCTCAAACAAAGATGTGTTCTCCCAAGCCCACATGTTTCACTTTTGTTTCAGTGACATCTATGCTGGTTTGGTCATGGACACAGAATGGGCTCCATGGGGAACTGGCTTCAGGCGCTAGGCATGTTGGCAGATGCACTCTGCATTAAAAAGCTGTCTTCATATGTGACATGAAGACTGGCATGAAAACCCACTGTGTGAGAATGCATTGCGGATGACTGCAGTGCCTGGAGACAGGCAGGTCATGTGTTCACAGCAGTGACCAGAGGATGAATGACCAGAGAAAGAGAAGAAATGCCACGGTGCACCTGTAGAAGCAAAACAGGACGTCTTCATCTTGCAATAAAACATGTATTGTCCATATCGGTCTCTGTAGCTGCAACAGGCGCTGTAATTCTCCAACAGTTTGACTTTGCTCTCAAAGGCACACTCTTCCATTGTCTCCTGAGACAGATGGATGCCAATAACAACAACAATAACAAATGATATGAACACAAAATTTCATCTTACATTAATTGAGTCACTCTTAAAATACGATAGTGCAATATGCAGGGAAGTTGATAATACATTTGCTGGTTTTGTAGTTGCTTTTTGCTTTGGAAGGATTAATAATAAAATGAAACAAACCTTATTCATGTAACAAAATGCCGCGTTGATTTGGGACTTGCCTCTGATTTCTGCGTATTTGTTTAGAATGCACATTCAGATACTGCACATTGATATTCTTTCACAGTTAGAAACCTTGCGCTGCCCCATATGCTTATTTGTCTGCATCTTATTTGTCTGGAACTTTTCATCAAGCAAATAATAAACAATGCACAACATTTATTTTAGATGGAAAATTGCTGAGGGCCATTTTAAAGAGGCTCCCTACCCACAAATCTGTTGACTAATTTTGTGTGTGTGTTCTAATGAGGGGTGGGGGAACCATTAATCTGGTGAGCTTGTAGGTTTAGATTTTGAAGTGGAGCTCCATATCATGATTCTCAGACACACAGTGAACATCATTATGACTTTGTATTATACATTGCATCCAACTAATATCTACTCAGAGTAGGCCCACAGAACTTAATGCACCCAAAATGTTGTTGTTGTTTAGTCGTCTTAGTTGTGTTTGACTCTCCGTGACCCCATGAACCAGAGAATGCCTTGGAAACTCTCACTTTCTTCTCAAAGCTTCTCCTTTTTTATGTCCATGGAGTTTTCTTGGGAAAATACTGGAGTGGTTTGCCAGTTCCTTTTCCAGGTGGATCACATTTAGTCTAAACTCTCAGCTATGACCTGTCTGTCTTGGATGGCCCTGCAGGGCATAGCTCATAGCTTCTTGGAGTTCTTCAAGCCCCTTCGCCACGACAAGGCAGTGATCCATGAAGGGGCACCCAAAATAACTAATTCTCATCTGACACTCACAGAGCAGTAATTTTAACAAATTAGTATCAAAATCCATGAGAATTTTTATACTGAAAACGAATGGGAATCCAAAATGAAAACAATTGTCTAGCACACTATAAATGACCCACAACTGCCAAGGAAGAGTTTCATCACCTAAGTCTATATGTTCAAATGTGCATTTAACAGTGCAATTTATGTCTACTTGGAAAAGCTCCATTACTTCAAAGTAAGCATGTACAGGATTGCAGCCTAAATTTCCCTAAATCAATTTTTGTTTTTGTTTTTCTGACAGCAGTTTAATTTATTGTTCAGCTCCCTCCAATTTCGGGTTTTGTCCAACGAATCTGAGCTTATCATTTAATAATCTACACTACAGTTTTAGAAGAGGGGGGAGGGGGAAAGGAACCATGATATTTGAACTAAATTCACTGTACCTTTCACCTTATGAAATGAATTTCTCGGTCCTCAAATACCCAGGTGCATTAGTGCATTAGTAGTTGGACACCTTCCTGGGGAAAAAACCTTCTGCTAATGTCATTACGGCTCCTGCAAACTTGCACCCTCCATTCTACTATTATGTATTTATAGGGCAGCCCAGAAAAACTGTTTCTATACTGCTAATAGATTGTCAATTCTGAACATAAACAATTCTAATTAATGGGTGGGAAGAGGTGGGATTCTGAGCCTAGGTTTGCTCTTGTGGGGGGGGGGAGAAATTTCTGGATCCAGTGTCCCTTCAACCCCAGCCAGCACTGTCAATGGTCAAGGTTAATGGGATTTATAGTCCAGCAACATATGGACAGGCACAGGTTCCCCACCCCTGATATGAGGGATCAGCCTACAGCAGATCTTGAAGTCCAGATGGGCAAAGCCCAGCACAAATACTGCCCTTTTCATCTAAGCAGGTCAGATAAAATAAAAACCAGCTGGTACAACTGAACTTGCCCCTTGCATATCTGGCAACTACAGTGGTACCTCTGGTTAAGTACTTAATTCGTTCCAGAGGTCCGTTCTTAACCTGAAACTGTTCTTAACCTGAAGCACCACTTTAGCTAATGGGGCCTCCTGCTGCCGCTGCGCGATTTCTGTTCTCATCCTGAAGCAAAGTTCTTAACCCGAGGTACTATTTCTGGGTTAGTGGAGTCTGTAACCTGAAGCATATGTAACCTGAAGCATATGTAACCCGAGGTATCACTGTAGTTGAAAAGCAAGCCAGCAAACAAACAAACAAGAAAGAAAGAAAGAAAGAAAGACCATGCCAGGTTCTCCCACTGCCCCCAATCAGCAGAGAACTCTAATTGCATTTTTTTTTTATCGCTTGCATCCATAGCAGCTATCTGCATTTTAAGCGGATGGTAATTTAACTAGGTAGCTTGGATGAACATTCAATTAGGCCCCAGATGAAGCGCAGTGTGTCCACTGCGAAGGCTGGGGGGCGTCTAATGGTTAACATCAGATGCTTGATCCTGAATCATGCTCAGCCAGCAGGAGCTTTGTCATTTGCTCCAATAAGGGTAGATCAGGTGAAAAGGAAACACAACTCGTCTGTCATATAATTAGATGGATGTGCAGGTATTCCGCGAGCTTCTACACAGAAATCAATGAGGTTAGCTGGAGTGTAAGTCAGTACAGAACATAACCCGTTAAATTTCGAGTAATGAAAGGTATCCAGACATGCATGATATTAGTCATCTATTGATTTTTGTCATATGTTATGCTTTAATAGCAATTACGTTTTCTGGCACACTTCTTCTTTCCGCCCCCCCCCCCCCCCCGCCCGTCTCAGCATTTAAATTGTTGCTTCTTGATTAGTCAACAAGAAAAATCGATTCCCCCTTTGCATTTCACTTCAAAGCTTTGATTCAATTACAATCTGGGAACTAATCAAATGTTGATCTAGCTGTTTCAGTCACAGGAAAGCAGTTTTCTAATGCCCTAATCTTTCTTTGTCACTAAAGGGCACTTTTTAGTTCATTCATCACCAGCCTAACTCTCTGCTGCAGTCAAAAAGAAAGATCTGTTTCTGACTTCAGCTTTATACAATTAGAAATTAACTATACCTATTAGGTCACCTTACATTTGCTCTGCCGGTGTAAGGAAGATGCCACTGAGCATGTTGTAAGTGCTTTCTCTAGGCTGTTTGGGGAAGGGGCATGTGCTGCACATGCAGATGTTGGAGTCTGTGATGCCTCATAGGACCAACAAGTTATCTAGTCCAGCATTCTATTATTTCCCCCATGGACCAACCAGATGCCTCTGGGAAGCCCACAAGCAGAATACAATGCAATGACCACAATTAATCAGGCCCTGGTGGATGTCCAGACTGCACTGCAGTCTGCCTTTTGTCATGAGTCTCTTGGAGGCATTGGGGAGGGGCAGTACCTTTGGTGGGGGGCATGTCATGCTCCTTCTGGTGTAGTCTCTCCATCTTTGATCTCCAACCTGCACTCAGCTCTCACCTGTGCTTCCAAGAAACTGTGAGCATGTGACAGCAGCCACACCCTGGGAATGGCTTTGGCTGGCCAACTAAACCAGGTGATGATAGCCAATGGGTCTCAAACTTTCAGTGAGTTAGGGACTTCCCCAGCATGCAAAGACAGGTGTTGGCAAACGAGACCAATAGTGGGTCCCATGATCAATAAGGTGGTGTCTGCATGTGCTGTAGAGGGAAGTGAGGGGCAGACGGTGCTCGTCCACCTGGGAAGGTAGCCCATCTAGGAGAAGGAAAGCTCTTATCCTCAACCGCCACTGCCTTGCAGGACATCTTCAGGAGAAGAAAAGGCTAAGGAATAAACCCTCTACAAATCCAGAGCAGAGTCCCTAAGATGGTTGAATGGCGCCTTGTACACCTCTATCCGGTGACACCTACAGTCAATCTGGTGCTGAACGTATTGCTTTGCTTTCCTTTGGACCACATCAGTGAGGCCAAGAGCAGGGTCTTGTCATCTGGGCAGCCCAGGACCTGCATACACATTGCCCAGGCTTGCTTCCTGGGGGGGGGGGGTCACTTCAGTGCTGCTATTGCAGCAGTTTGACTTAGCCCCTGGATGCACACTCCATTGTTTCTCAAGACAGACCAATGGCAACAGCAACATGGAGACATCTTGGAGGAAGTAGTCTTAGCGCAAGGAGGAGTGGGAAAAGATTGGGGATTTGTAGGAGTCTGACTTGGGGGACAGTTCTAAGTGGCTAGAAAGTGATGTTCTGGACTTGCTGAAGAGGTCTGACCCATGGGAAGGACCCAGTTGGTTGATAGGTGGATCTGTGAGAAGGGTCAAGCAGGTTTCAGGGAAACATCAGACACCCCCAATGCAATATCATTGCAGACGGATATGGTGTCAGTGCTACCCAAGGAGTCTTCCTTCTTGGGTAGGTTTGAAGGATAAATCTAACAGCAAGCTGGCCCTATACTAGGTTCTCAGCAGATGGATTACTGTTGCTTCTAGGAAGGAGAGGGATAGGGGCAGGATGGAAGGGAAGTTGATGTGGTGCAAACACATTTGGTCCTCCCCCTGGTGTGTTTGCACCATGCTAACCTCTCTGCTGTCTCACCTTCCGGGTAAGCAACAGTGACCCACCTGATGGGAAACTAGTATGGTGGATCCCCCCCAACCCAGCAAGCCACTTCTGTTGAACAGTGCGCATGCAACAGGAAAGAAGTTGTGCACATTAACCCTTTGTCCAGCACAGCATAAATGTTTTCAGACAGTTAGGTTTTTTGTTTTGGGGTTGTAGCCCACTATGCTATACTTGGCATAGACCAGGGGTTAGCAACCTATGGCCCATGGGCTGGAAGCAGCCTGCAGAGGTCATTTGACTGGCCCACAAGCCACCCCCAAACTGAAGTGCCCACTCACACGCTGCGCTAAACCAGCTCAGCGCAACACAGGGACTCACTTCTGTGGTGCTGAAAATTGCATCTGCACAGACACCGAAAATCACGAGGGTGTGGCACACGGAGGGATCTCCACAGCACTGATCCGGCCCAGGCAAGATAAAGCTTGCTGACCCCTGGCATAGACTCATTTAAAATAATGAACCTGAGTTAATCAAGTCTATTAACATCAATGGGTCTACTTTGAGTAGGACTGGCATTGAATACAACCCATTGTTTTTAGAAATATGCAACAATATGAAGGTGCATTACTATTACTATTATTTGTATATCACCATTTGTATATCATCCAAAGACCATTAGACAGTTCGCAACATGAAAATACAAAATAAGAAGACAAAATACACAATAAAACAGAAACAACCAATAACCCTCCCCTCAAACATATTTAAAAGGCCGTAGAATGTTAATGAACCAGAGGTCTGGTTATATGGAAACATTTTTGCCTAGTGCCTAAAGATTTAGCTCAGTATTATCTACATGCCAGAGATTGAAGCTGAGACCATTTGCAGAGCCTGTGCTTTCTCTGAGCTGCAGTCCCTCCTCAAAGGCAGATATTTATAGTCACATCAGCAATTTAGTAGCTTGTTCACTTTCATAACTGCATAAGAACCAAGGAATTGCCATGCTGGGTGAAACAATTGCTCTCACTAACCCAACACTCTGCCTCCAACAGTAAGACAACCAGATGCCAGGGAAGATCTTAAGCCGCAAGATGATAATCAGACCATTCCCAGCTGCAGCTAGCAGCCACTGATAGACTTATCCTTCATGAACACATTTATTCCTTTCTTAAAAACCATTTATTTCATCCTGTGCCAATGAGTTTCATAGGTTAATTGTGTGTTGTGTGAAAAACTGCCTCCTTTTGTTCATTCTTTCTTTATATATACACAATACATTAACCAGCAGGGGCCACTGACTGTTGTAATGAGCCAGGAAGCCAAGATTAGAAAGCCAGGAGGCTTTCTAATGTATACATTCACTAATTCTTTCAGCTAGAAAAATTGGTTGCATGAAACGTATCACCTTGGCTGGACTTTTTTCATCTCCTCCTCTGACCCAAATAGAGCAAAAGCACTTTCTTTGGCAGGCAGCCTAGCTTTTATTTGAATGCCAAAAAGACCCGGGGCAACATCTAGGATATCAGTGTCAGCTAGACCTTATGAATGCTGCTCTTTAGGTTCAGGTGAGAGGGACGATGGGGAGAGAACAGCCATCAGTCAGAAGGGCCTGAACTACTGGTTAGCTATGGCTGGAGGGAGTGAAGATATTGGCTCATACATTTGACTCTGGAGCATTTAACTGTGCATTGAGTTATTTTGAATATGTTGTCTGTAGGCCATAGACTTCCGAGAACTTTACTAAGGGTTGCACTGACAGCTGGAGGGCACAATTCAGGCCACTCTCTCAAATTAGAATCTGATTGAGATGAAGAATGAAAAAAATAGAATTCATTTTTGGATGGAGATGTCCATGCTATGCCTTTCCCTCTCTGTACTAGATACCAATCTAACAATGTTACATCTCATTTGAACTCTAATTACTGTCTCTGCATCTACCTTCCACATCCAGAGGGCAGAATTTATTTATCAGAAATGGTGTGTGTGTCTGTGTTCAAGTGCTTTCTACTTTTATGATGTCTCTCAGTTGCCTTTTAGTATTTGTGCTTTGGGATCTTTTGCAGCCTCAGCAGAAATTGCTGTACATGCATTTCATGAGCCATTTTTGATATAGAATAAAATAGTTTGAGTGGCTTTTTATTTTTTTTAGTTTAATGTTCAGTCAGCCGGTGTGCTGCTATCATGCAGGCAGTGATGCTTTCAGAAAGTCTGTTTTTTTCTCCTCCAACTTCAGAAGAACACCTATTATCAATCTGTGTCGAAGGTACCTACCTATAAAATGAGGTTTATAGAGAAGTCTTTGAGTTTCCTCTCATCACTGATAGAAGTGATGAGATTGTTCCTAGTATAATTTCTGCAATAGTCCAATGCACTCGCCTCCTGCCAAGCGGCTTATACAAATTACAAGAAACGCAATGGTAAATGTTTTTTTAACACTCGATTTTGGACTCCAACATAGAAGTATATTACATATTTTATTAGCTCATTTACCACCTACCATGCTGTATTATTAGCTAATTCGCTAGTTACAATTTAAAAGTGCTTCTTGTCTGATGTCTAGTTTACAGTTTTACAAAATTAACAATATGCCTTTGGAGCATTGTTGTTTGATCAATTCAACACTCCTAAAGAATTTGTACATTAGGAATAAATTATCTGTCTCACCTATGTGATCCCATGGTCCCAGGGAGGGCTGGAG